CTTTTACATTTAGGTCTTTTTTTTTTTTAAGATTTTATTTATTTATTTGACAGAGATCACAAGTAGGCAGAGAGGCAGGCAGAGAGAGAGGAAGAAGCAGGCTCCCTGCTGAGCGGAGAGCCCGATGCGGGGCTCTATCCCAGACCTTGGGATCATGACCTGAGCCAAAGGCAGAGGCTTTAACCCACTGAGCCACCCAGGCACCTCTACATTTAGGTTTTGATCCATTTTGAGTTAGTTTTTGTTTATGATGTGAGATAGGGGTCCATATTCACTCTTTGGCTTGTGGATATCCAGTTGTCCTAGCATCATTTCTTGAAAAGACTATTCTTTTTCCATTGAATGTATCAGCACCCTTGTTAAAAATCACTTGACCAGGGGCACCTGGGTGGCTCAGTTGGCCTGTTGACCCACCCAGGTCATGATCTCCGGGTGATGAGATCGAGCCCCGTGTCCACCTCTGAGCTTGGTGGGGAGTCTGCTTGGGATCCTCTCTCCCTTTGCCCTTCCCTTTTCTTCCCTTATACTCTCTCTCTCAAATAAATAAATCTTTAAAAAAAAAAAAAAAAGTCCTTTGACCATAAATGTAAAGGTTGGTTCCTGGACTCTCCATTCTATATCATTGGTCATCATTGATTTTTATTTTAATTGTTATTTTATTTTTTAAATTTATTTTTATTTTTATTCCAGTATAGTTAACACACAGTGTTATATTAGTTTCAAGTGTACAATATAGTGATTCAGCAACTCTCTATATTACTCAGTGCTCACCTGTTTCACCCATTTCCCCACCCATCTGCTTTCTGGTAACCATCAGTTCTCTATAGTTACGAACCTGTTTTGGGGATCATCATTGACTTAAGAAGAAAAGCAATTTAGCGATGTTTGCTCGCTGTCCCCTATGCTACCACACTAATCTGGGCCTTCCCAATCTGTACTTAGTAACTGTTCAGCCTTTTTTGAGTACAGTTGGTAGGTGAATACTTCCAAAGCAGTGCTTTCATCGTGTTGTTGATGGTAAGGAGTAGCCATTGGCTTGATATCAAGGTTACATTGGAACTAAACTACTTTGCCTATTTTGAGGTCCCTGAGCCAGCCCTACCCGGGGCTCCATACTTGTTTCTCTCCATTTCTAAATTCAAGTCCTCTCCTAATCAGTCCTATTTCTTTTAGTCATTACCTCCTCATTCATACCTTATGCCTTGATTCTCCACATTCAGTTCCCTTCTCAGTTTAAATTTTTATACTTACTCAGCATAATTAGAGGCTTTAATAAATTTAGGTACATTGATCTCTTTCAGATATGGTTTCTTAGAAGAATCACTTCTGTTTCATTCATGTGACCACTTAATGCATGATCCATTTCTAGTTCTTCCTGCATCTGTTACATTCAGGGTCCTAAATTTTTTTTTTTTTTTTTTAAGATTTTTTTTTTTTTTTTTTTATTTATTTGACAGAGATCACAAGTAGGCAGAGAGGCAGGCAGAGAGAGAGAGGAGGAAGCAGGCTCCCCGCTGAGCAGAGAGCCCGATGTGGGGCTCGATCCCAGGACCCTGGAACCATGACCTGAGCCGAAGGCAGAGGCTTTAACCCACTGAGCCACCCAGGCGCCCCTACATTCAGGGTCCTATACTGGCTGCTGCCTCATATAACTATTTTATGTATCTATAGCTTTTTTCCTACACATTCCTGTACACTGAAATATGTAGGGACTGTTTTAAAATCCTTTCACAGGGCTGAATATGAATTTATTTTTAGTATGTAAGGGTCTTCAGTCTTCTAATCAAAACCTTTGGGGGCCAGATGTATTTGAGAGATTTTTTAAAAAGATTTTATAAAAGTTTAAGCTGCATATACTTATTATTTAACCAATAGCACTCTGGGATAGCACTCTTTAATGACATACATTAAAATATTTACTGTTACACATATTCTCCAGTGGGATGTAGGGCAGAATCCTTTGTTTAAAGATTGCTTTTTCTGTAGCAAAAAGTGAATATTCACACTGAAATGTGATAGACTATAAATAGTATCATATCAGTTTTGGTCAGGTGTGATTTTGCTGCCAGTTGAATTACAGTGAAACAGTTTGAATAGAGTTTTGCCTTTCAGAAGTGTGGATAATGGATTGAAGAGCCTCACCGATTTTACCTGTACGGTACCTGTATGGTGTAAATGTAGAGATGGAAAATTCTGTCTCTTACGTGTGCTGCCCTGACCCAGTCTAGACTTGCCTCCTGTGTCTCTTAGCTGCAGCCTCTTCCCCCCACCCATTTGTTCTCAACCACTTTGCTCAGGTCACTCCTGTGTCCCCACATTTGTGATGTCTTACCATTTATTGTCTGCAGTGTGCGTGTGAGAAGTAGCCACATATTCCTAAAGTCTCAAAATGATTGCAGAAGGAATGCGATAGTCATTTGTTTAGTCAGTGACTGCTGGGGAAGTCATTCCCTTTTCTCTACACTGCCTTCCCTGCAGGGCCTACTGGGGGAGGGGGGTCAGTGAGTTGGAGGGGGCACCGTGGAGGCTTACAGCTGTCTGGATGGACGCCTGATGAGGCGTCCAGGTCTTGGCCTGGAAGAAGTTAAGCAATCTGGGCCTGCAGGGAGGTTGCAGACTCATTCAAGGCCTTCTATAATCTGGCTTCAGTCTAACTTGTTAGACTAATGAGTCACCATTCCTCAGATTTATGTTTTATGTTTTTTATTAGATTAAGATGTTTTCTCTGTGTAAACTTGCCTAGTGAGCATCCCATGGATAACATATAAATGGTTTTCTGGCTTCCTGCATTTTCCTCAACATTCACTTAATATGTGACATTTCTCTTATGTTGTGTATTTAATTTTACAATATCCCCGTGGTAGATCTGGCAGTGTTCTGAAACTGGAATTGGATACCACTTGTCTAGAGGCCCGTAGTTTTTGTTTTGTTTGTGTTTTAAAATAACTTCTATTTTTTCATGTGCTGGTGAAATTGCCAAAGTGAAGCCACATTAGATATGCCATATTTTTATGTTGAGACACATGTGGTTAAGAACCAGGAATCCTAGAATGTTGGAGCTGGAAGGAACATTGTTTTTGTTATTGTTGTTGTTTGTTTTTAAAGATTTTACTTATTTATGACAAAGAGATCACAAGTAGGCAGAGAGGCAGGCGGTGGCGGGGGGGAGCCGGCTCCCCGCCTAGCAGAGAGCCCAGTGTGGGGCCTGATCCCAGGACCCTGAGATCATGACCTGAGCCGAAGGCAGAGGCTTAACCCACTGAGCCACCCAGGCGCCCCAAGAACACTGTTAGTATAATGTTTTATAGAACAGGAAACTCAAATCAGCTACAGCTACCCAGCTAGATAGTGAGTAGTAGAACCAGAACTCTGTTTTTCTTGAGAATTTATACCTTTCTGTTTTTTCTGCTTGGTGTTAGAGCTAAAATTCTCAGTTGATCATCCCCTCCCACTCCCCCCCACTCCCCACAGTTCTTACAAGTAAATTTAATACTCTTTCGGATTTGGAAAACGGTCTACCTGGTTTCAACCCACAGGAGTAAAAAAAATCATTTTGCTTCTTGGTGCCACCTTAGTAAAACTATTATTTGAGAGAATGTGTCTAATTAATCAAATTATTAGAAAATGGACTCTGGTTAGAGAATGGATAGCTGCTTTTATGTTCCTAACATCAACTAACAACCAATTTAAATTGTGCTTTTGGTATTTAAAGCTCAGGAAGGCTTTCCCTATATGTTTCCCTATATGTATCTCTGACTTGAAGAGAAGGTTCGACCACATTAGGTAGAACTGACAGTGTTAAGTGCCACGTTTTTCTGTTAAGCTCTGCTATTTATTGAATAGGAGAAATGCTGATTAGAGAAAATGATTAAAAAAAAAAGATGCCAGTTTGAATTTATGAAATTAGAAATTAGGTGTCCTCTTGGAGATTCTTAATTATTGGAGGAAAAGACCCCAGGGAGTTATGGATCATTAGAACTCGAAGTTTAATGAGCTTTGGTTTGTTTGTGGTAAATTGAGTGCTTTAAATTTTCATGAAACAGTTTTTAAAAGTTCAGGAAAATAGTTGCCCAATGGCATAAGCATTTATAGTTCTCTAAAAATCATGCCTTTCTCTCCTCACTGAGTAAGAGCTGGTTAGGGAATCTTTGTCCCCCACACGTCTTAAGCGTTCTGCCCATCAGGTTACATCCACGGCAGAGTGCTAAGCCATATGCTGTCTCAGTTGTATGTCAGAGTTTCCCATGTTTTTCTGTCATGATACATTTTCATTTTTGAGTGAGAATCTAATTTAGGTCTGTGTTCCTTTGTTATGAATGACCCTGAAAAAGTCACTTCATTACCCTGGGCCTCAGGTATGAAGAGAGTAACTGTGAAAATGTCTCCATTGTCCAAGATAATAGAGCTTAGCTGAGTATTTTTTTTTAATCGGATATTTTTTATTTGATGTAGTAACAATACTTATAACCAAAAAAGAAAGAGAAAACAAATTACTTTTAACAACAAAATCATCAGTGTGGCTTGAGTTTCTGGAGCTGACAGTTAAGTATTTATGGAGGTTGTGAGGGGACAGGGAGAATCTATGGTAGATTTGTTTGGTGCTGCCATTTATTCTCACTTTTGTATGCTCTTTAACCTTTAGGGAGAGTATTCCTATATTTATTTTACAAAAAACTGAATCTCATACTGTCTAGCCCTAGACTGGAAACTGGGGTCTTTTTTTTTTTTTTTTTAAAAGATTTTATCCATTTATTGGCAGAGAGATGCAGTGAGAGAGGGAACACAAGCAGGGGCAGTGGGAGAGGGAGAAGCAGGCTTCCCGCTGAGCAGGGATGCGGAGCTTGATCCGCGGACCCTGCGAGCATGAGTCGAGCTGAAGGCAGATGCTAAACCATTAGGTGCCCCTGGAAACTGGGGTCTTGAACTGGCCTGAGCTACTTCAAGACTACTGTCTGTGTAGTTTGGTTTGGTGTCAGATGGCACAGGACTCGGGACCCAGTATGACTCTTCCTGTTCTATTCTTTCAGCTTGGATTTACTCTTGGCAACGTGGTTGGAATGTATCTGGCTCAGAACTATGATGTAAGTGACCGTATCCATGTCCTCCCCGATTCCATGTCACAAATTCGTATTGACTTGTCTTTGTTAGAGTCAGATATGCCCTCCATTGTAAATGAAGTCCATAGATCTGAGGAAAATGTCCTGAACTTTGTAGAAAGATTTTCCGTTAGAAAAATACACCTCACAGAAGCATCTGTCTTCCATATCACCACAAGAGGGCAAAATTCCATCAGTTTAAGATGTTTTTGTGATCCTGAGCTGTGTTTGTTAGCCCAGAGCAATTAATTACTAAGTTAGAGTCTTCTTACAGTTCTATGGAGAATTGTGATAAATGGGAATTTAAAGACTAATTGGATAATCTTTTTAGCTCCTTCTACATGGTAATAATGGTAATAATGACTGAGAACTTTAGTGGCAGATCTTTATAATGCAGCTCAGTTAAGGAGGTCAGAGTTTTGTGAAGTGGGGAGTTATATTAGCTTCATTTTATAGACAAGAAGTTGAAAACCAGCTGACAAAACTGCCCATGAATGGGGATTCTGGAAGGGTTGTTGTAAAGAGAGGGAAAGGAAGGAAGAGGCGGGAAGAGGGAAGGAAGGGAAACATGATAGTAACTTTAGATTTTTTTGTTGTGAAGCTTTTCATGTGACAAAAGAAATTCTTTATCAACCTTCACTTGAGTTATATGGTTTTCTAGGAAGGAGCTTTATTAATTTATATCACCTTTATTTATATGTACAGCTTCTACTTGGCACTGGATTGAGGTGCTAAGTGAGTTTATAAAGTAGAAGTAGAAGTAGAAAAGTAGAAGTCAGAATATAGCTTCAGGGAGGGAGCATACATTACTTAACAACTCCTGAGATCCTCCTTATGCAGTTAGGAGGCCAAGAAATTCTATTTAGCTGGTCACTTTCAGAGGAAAATAAAGACTTGTACAACAACCCTTTATTGTTGGACGAAGAAAAGTAAAAGACTATTGATTAGGTAGATGCAAAATTACAATAACCTTTTCTCTTTTTAAAGATACCAAACCTGGCTAAAAAACTAGAAGAAATAAAAAAGGACTTGGATGCCAAGAAGAAACCCCCTAGCTCATGAGGCGGACTCCAGTACTGCCTTCTGGATACACCGATTCTGCTGTTCTTGAGGGCCTCCTTACCATCTGAACCAAAAGTTTTTGTTTTAAATTCCAGCCTCAACAATTTTCCTGTTAGATCCTGCATTGCCTGAGAACACAGATGGGGCCACAAGTTAAGAACCACCCTTTTCCAGCTTCCTCACCTCGTCCCTTCCTCCTTCCAGCCACTTGAGACGGCATAAGACTGGAATTATGGTGCTAGATTAGTAAATGTGACCTTTAATTACTAGTCTCTCCTTTATTCTTTGGAATTTCTACTCTTTTCTAAAGAAAAATTGATGAGTTTTGTATAGCTGACCAGACATAAATAATGCTGATTTCACAGTTTAGCAATTATAATGGGTGTTTAAACATGTGGTACTAAATTATGTTGTTTTAAAGTCATTAAAATTAAAGCCCAGAAGCCAGTCACTCCTGAATTTTCCACTTATTTTGTGCTGTTGTCAGGCAGCTCCATAATTGCTAATTTAATCAGTAAATCAATTTATTACTCATTAACTAAGAAACTATACTTTGGGAACTCTGTCAGGAACTAGGGAGTTTAAAAATATGTAAAATAATGGCCTTTATCCTCAGTAGAATTCATAGTCTAGTATGCATGTTTTCCTTAATTGTGTCTTTGATTTGGCTCTTTTCCCTCAAAAGAATCCTACTTATCGCAGGGGTTTACAGGTGCATTTGACGTTACATGACAGATAAATGACAAGTTGTAAAGGAAATTTTATGCCTCTTCACATTAAAAATGTATTTACAGTATATCTTTATAGCGATTCTCGTAAGAAACTTTGAGAGTTTTTTTGTTTGTTTCCTGCGATCAGAAATCACCATTGTATGTTGACCCATAGGTAGGGACATCTCTTAAGTCCCTCATTCAGCAGGAAGAAGCTACTGAAAATGAGACCTTCACCCAATTGCCAAAGATTTGTTATTGTCAGTCTGTCAGGGTGGAACACAGAGGCCACTTTCAGGCCACGGGCTTGAGCAGTAGAAACCTGAGCAAGGCAAAAGGACCCACAGTGACCACTGAGCTGATGCAAACAGGTTCATTAAGCCATAGGCCCTAACCGACCAATGGGCTACTTAAAACCAGTCACGGTCTCTAAGATTGCCATAAAGGGAGAATTCCATAGTCCCTTACTTTGCCCTATGACTAGCCCCTCACCACCACCTCTTGGTAGATAGTGTCTCCTTTGCTGTCCTGCCCGTTGCTCCCTTGCAGTGTAATCAGTAAACTTCTATTGCTTTAAAAAGGACGAAAGAAAGAAAGAAAATCACCGTTATAATCTGTCAAATATATAATTAGTCCATTTTTAAAAATTAAATGTTTGTATACATCACTTTTCCCATGGGTCAGGATACAAAAGTGATTCAGAACAAAGGGCCTGTCATACTCCTGACCTTCAGTTCTTCTTCCTGGAGGCAAGCACTGTCAGTAATTTCCTGTATACTTTGAGAAGGATTATTTGCCTAAACAAATACATGTGTGTAAGGGGGTTTTTACACAAATCAGAAATTGCACTGAGTTCACCCCTTGCCCTTTTTTCCCTCCTCCTTAATGGAGATCATTCCGTATCAGTATGTAAGGGCCAAGAAACCTCTTTCCCTTTTTTGGCTACATGAGATTCTATTGAATGGATATACCATAACTTATTTAATCTGTTACTGATGAATGTTAGATTTCCTGTCTTCTGCTGTTACAGTGATAACCTTGAACCTAAAGTTATACATATCTGTGCAGGGTATAGCTGTAAGCTAAACCCTAAAAGTGTAATCTGCACAAACTGTAGATGAAGTCCCATTTGATTGTGTGTTTTGTTTTAGGGACTTGTCGGGCAGCTCACTGATAATGCCATTTCTGAAGACATTTTAGCAGATATCAGTAAACTGGAAGAGTAATTTAGAGACACCTTATTTCAGACAGTGATGACATTATTACTGTGTGATTCTAAAACAGAGGGGTTTTGCTGCTCTTTGGAAACAGGGTTCTCGTACATGGGTGTAGGTTTTATCTCTGGCAGCTTGTCCTGGTGTGTGATACCGATTAGCAGCATGTTATGGTTTGGCTTCACCCTAGAAGTGAGAACATGGGCAAGGCGCTTGTTTTTCTGACACTGTTGTATTCTCTAAGATGTGGACACAATATCTACCTCCTGTGGCTCACACCAGAAACAGCTGAGATAATGTATGTGATGTGTTGCACAGTGCTCTGCAAATTACCCAATAAATAATAGATACTGGTTCAAACATGCTGCTTTTGGTCAGAATACTTTATTTTTCTGCAGTCACTTTTGGAACCAGTTTATGAACCATGCAAAATTTGTCATCCTGTGGTCACTCTCTTGGTTGCTGATGAAAATCTCTAGTTCTACCTTGATCATACCTCCTGGCTCACAAGATTTGATCTTGGATGAGGAAGTTCAGTAGAATGAACGACAGCCTTGAAGGATAAAGTTTTACCACCTTTGAGTGTATTGAAAATGCTGCAAGTTTAGAAAGGTGCTTCCAAATGGATTCCTTGTCACAGTTACAGTAGCATGATTGCTCTTGTGTGTCTCTAGAGTGGCTTTTTTAGGGATGAAGGTAACTTAGGTACTAGGAAATGAGGTGTCTCTATATTATATCTAATCTCATTTGGATGTAAGGCTTCCTAAAGAGTGATGGTCTCTTTCCCTGGCTACTAGGCTCATTTCCACCAGTGGAGCCATCCAGTAGCTTTGTTCTTGCTCTCGCCTTCATGTGAACTGTGACACAGTGAATACAGGCTGCCTTAGTGGTTGCTCTTCAGGAAAATTCTGGTTTTAGGTTGCAGCAGCGAAAAGGGGCTCAGAGTTCTCAGGCGAGATTATCCTCACTGAGATAGAGGAGGAGCTCAGAGCCATCACGCATTGTAGGGTGTAGTTGAAACTCTGTAACATGGGTGGGGGTTGCAGTGATTTTGACTGTGTAACTAAGAGTTGTGTTCCCTGGGGGTTTTGTTGGGACTTTTGGCTCACAAATCATTGGAGGGATGGGAAGAATCACCTCAAGATATACTCTTCTTCTTCTTTTAAAATTATTTGAAAACTCCTGCTGATGTGATTTAAGAAAACTTTTGACCATACCTGATCATAAAAGGAAGGTTGCCAACATGTACAAAATAAGACTTTAGGATTGATGTTGGGAACTTAATAAACACAGTGAACTTGAAAAGTTTATCCTTAAACCACCATCCTCCCAAGGAAAGGGAGAGAAAAACCCAAACAACTGTATTTAAAATCATCAAAAGGGGCTATATTTTAGGAGTTGAAGTTACCAGTTGATGCCTTTAGACATTTCTTTTGATTTGGTGTTTTATGCAGTTAAGCAGTGACCTGATTTAGAGGAACAATTCCTTTTTTTCTAACCCATTTACTCAATTTTCATTTGCAGGACTGTAAAAGTTATGATGTGTATTTTTTCTAGTTGTCTTGCATACAGGTTCGTAGAGCATATGGACACGTGTATAATGTTTTCATTTCCACTAAGCAGTTCACTCCCTAGATGCTCTGCTGGTATTTGTTTTTCCACTGAGGTCTCTTGCCTTTTTAGTACTTATTCTGTTACTTCCCCGGAAGGAACACCACAGACCTTACTGGAGCAAATGAGGCTTTTCTTAACTTCCCATCTTGGACTTTGCACACAGCATTTCCATTCCTTAGTCATGAATGAGTCCTTTTTTCCCTAGTGACTGTTAGGGCCTTGTGGACAGCAACAGGGTGGTGAAGGGAACATAAGTGTCACAGTCTTAATAAGGGAATTTGTGACACTTAGATTTTCATGTTTACTCTATACCTTTTCTAAATCTCCGTGCATCATAATTTAGTCAAGTCCATTTTTTTTTGCAAGGCACTGGGCAACGGCACAACAGTAGGGCTTCATGGAAATTGAACAGGGTGGGGCATTGCAAAACCTCAGTCGTGTGTCTGCTTGGATCACTGCCCGTGTGGCAAGGCCTTATGAAAGGGGCAGTTGGTGGTGTCATTCCTGCATGTCTGGTTGTACCAGCATTGGGACAAGAAAGAGTCGCCATGGAAATAGCTGGGCAGTTGTGCTTTGAATTCATTTAGTGATGGCAGCCGCAGGATGGGTAATCTGTGTACTTGGGTCGTCTCAGGCCTTGTGTGCCAATGGTTTGAACATTTTGCTATACAGAGAGTTACTCTGTTTAAATGTACTTTTTTTTTTTTTTTTAAAGATTTTTAGAGAACGTGACAGAGTAAGCATGAGCAGGAGATTGGGGCAGAGGGAAAGGGAAGAGGCAGACTCCTTGCTGCAGGGAGTCTGACCTGGGGCTCCATCCCAGGATCTTGGGATCATGACGTGAGCCAAAGGGAGATGCTTAACTAATTGAGCCACCCAAGACCTCTAGATGTACTTTTTCAAACATGGTCCCTTAATGTGAGGCCAGTGATGTTATTTGGTATGCAACTGAAAAAAAAACAAAAACAAACAAAAAAAACCAACCAGATTGATTCTGACATTTCTGAGGGAAAACTAGCTAGCTTTTATTTACTAAAAAATGGTTCATGAGTCTTTGTCATGTAAATCCCAATATAAAAGATTGTACCGTGTACTTCATGGGTGACTTTACAGGAATTTCGAAGGCAATTTTCAAAGGCAATTAAGCAAGTGTGATATATAATTGACTTGACAATAAGGTGCAACTATACTTAATGTCTTTGTTTCTCAGTCATCTATAAAATTGAGCTGGTATAAAATGATCATTACTGCTTTCCACTCATAGTGTTGTGATATTAGAAGATAAAAATCAAATTAGAATATATTTGCAAGAGACATAAGTCTACTACTACTAAAGAGAATGCTTAGTTTTTGTCCACCAGTGGAGTGGTTTTAGATGACAAGGAGCTATTAGTCATCTCTGACATTTCCTGTCACGGGAATGAGCAGGCTTGGCTACCCTGAACTCTGGCTTTGGGCAGAACGAATGTTGCTCTTGAGAACAGTCAGTAGAGCCGACTGAAATAAATGCCATTTCTAAACCAAGGGTACTAGCTCCTTGGAGAATGTGGCCACAGCCGCCCAGGGGAGTTATGCTCCTTTCACTCTAGGACTGAGTGAGGTTCTCAAATGCTGAACAGTGGCCAGGAGTTCTAAGTCACCTCTTCTTTCTCTTTTTTTAAATTTATTCTCCCAGAATCTTATTATTTGTACCTTTGTCTTGATGTCACTAGAGGCTTGGTGTCTAAGTTCCGCAGTGGGTCAGACAGTTGAAAATTTGGCAGCCGTAACAATATGAGAACACCCTAACTCTCTGAACATTTTATAGCAAAATGCCTGTTGTAGAGATGCTGACTTGATCAAAGCAGCTATAGTGTACATAACACCAGTATTTTATTTGGGCTCAGTAGGTCTTTTTAAGGAGTCAGATAATGTGGCTTCATCCAATGGATAGGGCAGAAGCAGTAATATTCGTGGTTACATCTGGCCAGTTGTGCTATGGTGAGAGCACGTGAGTGTTTGCTGGCACAAAAATTTTAGAATTCACAGATAACTTGATAAACTAAGGAGGTGACTTTATTGATAAGTTACTGTGTGGGAAAACTGCTATCAATAGTAACTTAAAATCAGTTAAAAGAATGGAGTAACGGTGGGATTATTCCTTTTTTCCAAAAAGACTGATTTAGCAAGGAACTGGTGGTAGAAATCGGAAATATGTATTGCCTACAAGCCAGGGAGTATTGGGAGCTGTATCCAAGGACATCTGTCATGGAGAAAATGGCATGGTTTATAGGAGGAAGCAGGAGGCCTTGATTTCCAGAGTGATTTTTCTCATGGGCAACATTTATTGAGTAGTTAGTTCACTATATTGTATAAGTTGCTGGAGACTTTAAGGAACATAAGACATCTTCTCTCTCCTCAAGGGGCTCATTGACTTGCAGAAAGTGACAGATGGGTTTGGAACTTTCTGTACTTGTCTTCTCAGGAACAAACTCCTTATATCCAGAAGAAAGCTAGTCAGTCATTAATAATACAGTGGTCTTAGTGATAGTTTTGGCCTCATTAGTAAGACAGCTATGAGTTTTTTCTCCCTCTCAACTGACCCAATGCAGTGGTATTGAGGATGAGAGAGTGGTAAGTGATGAGAGAGACAAGTATCCCCCGCTATCCAAAAGTAGAGCATTCCTATGAAACCTTTTGTAAGCTGAAATGGCATTGATCAAAGAAGCAGTTACCATTCATTTATGTAGAAAAATATTTGAGCATTCACAAACCCAAAAAAGAACCTCTCAGACTCCTCTAATACCTTTGGACACTTTCTAATGGGTGCACAAAATAAAGCACAGATATTCACAGCTTTGGCAGCTGAATGCTGAGATGCTGGGTGTAGGTTCCCAGGAGGGAGCACGGTGGCCCCACTCCAGCTGCTCAGGTTGTGCACTGCTCCTCTGAGGGCTCGCTGCAAAACCAGTGCTGAACGCTACTTGGACTTTTCTCATAAACCTAAAAATCCTCTTCAGATTTCTTCCAGTTAGCGAAAACAGGTACTAATGTAGGTCTTTTGTGAAAGTGAAGTGGTACAACTGGAACTTTTGAAAAGTGGGGATACCTGTACTAATTTCAATGTGCCTTCTTCCCCTTTGACCAAGAGAACCCTACTCACCCCATTCTAAAGGAGGATACTATTTCTTTATGGGAATTTGGTGCCAAAGGTAGAGAGAAGCCACTGGAGGGAGATGCTTAAGTAATGATAAAAGAGTACTGATTGCCACAAAGAGGACTTAATCAAGATTGCCTTTTTGTGGTGAGAGCTTAGGATAGAAACACTGAAGGGAAAATTCTGGGGGGAGATTTTCCTCCAAAAGAGGAGATGTAACTGGTTTCATTATTTGTGCGTAGGGAGGATGATTTGGATTTCCCCTCAGTTCCTAAAAAGTGGTTAAGATATTAAGAATAAACCTAGTGAGGCTAGTTTGTGAGGCTTAGCCTCTGAGGGGTAACTAAGGTTTTTTTCTCTTCCGGTCTTCAGAAAGAATTGGAGAGCTCAAGATACAGGAAGTGAGAAAGACCACAGGTTTCCCTGAACTAGGGTGCTAAGGAGGGAGTGCAGAGCAGAAGGCACTAACATGCAGGCATGTGTTTTGGTTGTCGGAGGCTTGCTGCACTTCACTTGAGGTGGCAGACGGCAGAATCTTCTGGTGTCGGTTGTGTGCTCCTGGTGGCTTTCTTGGCCTCTTGGTCAGATTCTGGTAGGTGCTGGCAGCTCCTTCAGTTGGACCGTTTGCCCACCTGTGTTAGGCCTGATCAGTGATGTTACTGACCTTCGCCCAGGCAGGAAAAGTGTCCAAGTGGAAGAGGCTAACACCCCATGTGTTGATGGCCACCATGACGATCACCAGGCCAATGACATTGACCCCCAGGCCAGCTTTCACCTGTAGGACACAAACCAGCCCACCGTAGTCACTGAGCAGGCAGTAGCCCAGATCCCCCAGTGCTACATAGCAGTGCCCCCCACCCAAGCCTTGGCCCTGATCTGTGCCCAGTCACTGCCAGGGATCTGTAGTGCTGCCTCCAAGAGTGGCTCGGGACTGTGGAAGGGTGGGAGAGGCCCTCAGGACCATCTCCACTTGGGTTCTCACTCCCAAGTGGAAGTCTAGAAGGCATGTACTGGGAACACCAGGTCTTAGAATGTTACGAGTTACACTACGCAAGGATCCTGTAGCTACATGATTGGGAACTGCTTTAAGGCAGGAACTTCTTAGAGCCTTTAATGTGCTGACACATACGGGGACCTGTAGGAGAGGCCTGATTCTCCGAAGCCTCTGCTACTGTTAACTGTTTTCCCTTACCAAAGGAACAGCTTATGGAAGGTGGTGTATCTTGGTTTCACCTGGAGAACCAGGCCAGCTGCCTGTGTTCAGCCCTCCATGGGAGGGTGACAGAGACATGTTAGCTTTGCTGCTTTCTGCTGAGGGAATGTCACCTCCATGACCCTGAACCCTCCCATTTCTGCCATGGAATTGACACAGGCTGAGGGGGGTGTGAGGGATGATGGATGGCAGAGCCAGGGCCAGATGGAATAATGGACAGTAGGCATAGCTGGTAGCCTGTCAGGGAGGACCCAAGCACACTGCTGTGGCCACCACGGGTCTGCTGGCTGGCACAGAGTTGGGAAAGCTGTGAGGGAAAATGAATGCTAGGAAATTGTTCCAAGCAGGTGACTAGATGTATTGCTTCTCCACTTTCTGGCCAGAGCCCCAGACTTATAAATCATTTTTCCCCTTGGGCTTTGGGTGTGGACAACTGCCCAGGTCTGTAGCCAGAGGAGGCAGGTTCTAAAGGGGCTCAATTAAAGTCCTTCAGAGCTGAAAGGAACCCTGCAGAGCATATAACTGCCATCTTTCGCATATGAGGAAATGGAGGCCTCAGGTCAGTTCCCCGGGCTGGAAATAGAACCCGCGACTGGCCTACTTCTTGTCATCTGGTGCCTTTGAAAGGCGCTGTCTCTGATCGCTTGATTCCAGAAAAGATGGCGGGGGGTGGTGGGGGGCAGCAGTGAATGGTGGGGTACCCAGGAGAGGAAGTGGCTGAATGGGAGAGTTGGGACTGAGCTTGGTCCCAACTCTCCTGAGCAGACACTGTTGTGCACTAAGAGGTGGGGGGGGAGGGGAGGGGTGTGGCTGTGACCTCCCTTCCCTGAAGTGTCACAGATGACTTCCATGAGCGGTTTGATGAGTAGAAAGATCTGAATATCTGCCACTAGCCTGAAGCTCTCCCTTTCCTCCGTTTGCTTTTTACAGGGCTGCTGGGAACAAGTTTGGACTTTAGTGAACAAGAATGTGTGAGACCCTCAGCAAGGCAGACTGAGCCCTATTTCAGACAGCCTAGCCCCAGTAACTAGGAGTTTTCCCCTTTCCTCCATCCCCCAGTGGCCTGGATATCCAGGAGCACAGCAGTGAGTATAGGTTGAGGGGCGGAGGGTAAACAGGCCCAACACTGACCAGATGTTTCCTCAGAGCTATCTCTTGTGGGGGGCCAGCTGAGAACTAGGAAATGAAGTGTGGGCGCCTCATTTTGCCATTGTTGCTTCAGGGGCTGGCGTTGGGGAGAGTTCAGTGGGAGTGCCCTGTCCCCTCAGACCTTTCACCTTAGGTTCCTACGGTTTCTCCTACTTCGCTTCTGTGAGTAAACCAGCAGCTTTTGCAATGAATGTCCCCACTGGCCCAGTGAAGAAACCGAGGCAGGCCTTGTGCCTCCCCCGGGCTGCATGTCGTGTCTGTTCCAGCTGTCTCTGTATATCCCGGGTAAGGGTGGGAGAGCACATTCCTGCTATCCTTGGTGCTTGTGGACCGGCGGAAGGCCTTTTTGCCAGCACTATTCTTCTGACCACACTAGACTGAGTGTTGACAGACCACAGACACTGCTCCAAAATGATAAGCTTCAGGAGGCTGTGGAGCCACTCGCTTGTCCCTGTCCTCACTGCAGCAAGAGGGTACCCGCGACTTACCATATCTTTGATCTGGCAGTGCCCATAGCTGAAGACGATGGCATTGGGGGGATTGCCCACAGGCAGCATCACTGCAAAGGAGATGCACATGGTGACTGGGATCAGAGTGTAGAGTGGATTAATGTGCAGCGTTTCAGACTAGGAGAAGAGAGAATTCACAGAAACATCAGCGTTGAGATGCAGCTTGCATTTCTTGGGCTTAACATCACAAACATGCTTTAAATGCTGGCTTGGTGTTGGCTAACCTTGGCTGGATACCGTGTGTTGGGGGCTGTGAAATCTCTACCGTCAAGGGCATACAGTGCTCGGCAACCCAAGTGGGCTTATGCTGCTCAGTCACTTCCCGTGGAAACATGGGCTCTGAGTTCCTTCCTAGAAGGGATGTTTCATTTCTTGGTGCTGGACTAATTTTATCCTTTAGCCAAGAGAGTCATTCTTCAAACTCAAATCCCATGAATAAGCTGCTTTGGTTGAGGTGGGGGTCTCTCATCCTTGGAGTGTAGAACTAAGGTGTTTTCTAGGTGATGCTTGCTTTGGATGGGATTTGAAACCCGTGGTCTCGCCCTCCATGTTGCTGAGTTTTCACTGAGTGTACTCCCGTGCTCACACAGATGAGAGGATGGCACAGTTGGAAGGAGACATCCGAGCAGACATCAAAGACAGGGGCTGGGGTAGTTTGGGGTTAAAGAGAGTGGAAGGGTTTCATTTTGTTGGGGGTGGGGAGGAGCCTTCATTTGCTGGGTCCACCTCACTAGTGGGACAGAGGAAGCACTGTGTCTGGTGCATTACTCTGGGGTCTGCTTAGCCAGGCTGAGATCTGGGAGATGCGTCCCTCCCCTCACTCATGAATAACAAATTGTTCTGAGACCATGGGATAAGGCTGGCATTGCCTTAATTCTCAGACCCTCCCGGACAGAGAAATGGGGAAGGCGGTGATGGAGCTGTGGTTTTGGTCTTTACAGCTGAGTGTACTTCTGGGAGCATTTTGCCCCCATTTTCTGTAGTTACTTCTCCCTCTGGCCCTACTCTTAGGTCTTAGGAGAGAAAGAAATGATTGTGAGGAACTGGAATCCTAGGGTTTTACGGGTATTCTGTGCATTCTTGTTTCCATTCAAGACTGTTTCTAAACTAATCCTAGTCTTTCAGAAAAGGGTTTCTAGACACTTGCTACAATTTCTGTCTATCTGTCTGTCTATCTAATTTGAAATGCTTCATTTCCAAATTGTGGCTGGAGCACCCATCAGTGAAGTCTGTGTCAATGACCGGAGGAGAGAGTAGAGCTGGGAAGCTGTTCCCTGGGCCCGAGGAAGCCCGTCCTGACATCTGGGAGCCCTGCCCTACTCACCAGGCTGCACAGGATGGGCAGGAAGATGGTGATGGTGGCTGGGTTGCTCACGAACTCTGTGACAATGGACACAAGGATGCATGCCAACAGGGTGACAGCCCACGGTGGGAGGCCACTCAGAGACAACATCTGGTGCCCAATCCACGTGGAGAGGCCAGAGCTCTGCAGGGAGATGGGTGATACAGTAAGAAGAGAGGAGGAAGAGCACATTCCCCCTGGAATTCTTAGACTCCAGAAGGTCAGGGATGTTGGGGGGCTGGAAGGAAACACTAGGAGTCATCTAATTTGCCTTCCTACTTTCAGGCAGACGGGATCCAGAGGCATTCCTGATTTGATGATGAGGTGGTTTTTACAGCCTAGAAAATTCCTTATGATTGTGTAACATTCAGTCTCAGGGTTTCCTGGACAATCATCACAGCGCATGGAGAGCTGCCCATCCTAATGGCTATGACTCTTGTCAGGATTATGCCACGATGGCTTGGCAGGGGCTGGAGATCTTTGGGGCCACAGCCCTCTCAGCTTCACTCTCCTTACTCTCTCCAGCCTCTGATATTCTCACTCTGTGCATCAGTCAACGGTGATCCTGACACAGACTCCCCAGTATAATCCTTAATCTGCTTTTGAAATCTAGCTCTCTTATCACTGGTAAAAGGGGGGGAATTATCAACGTCCTTGGACAGTAACCTTTCCTGTGGTTTGTGGGGAGTCCGTGGGCATGGCTGAACACCAGAAGCTTTGCATAGAGGGATTCCCAGTCTGTCCGCTCTCAGTGGGAAGGTGCCACCTGGCCGGCCTACAGGTGGCACCTTCTGCACCTTCTACCACCTGGCCGGTTCTGTGGTGGTCCGTCCTGTGTCAGGTTCAGTCTCATCACGGCTGACGTCGGGATCTGCCGTCCACCAGTGCTTTTTCACAACACAAGATAAGAAGGCATGTTGCTGCTCTTGAACCTTTTCCATTAGCAAAATTTATACAGATCTACTCCAATAAATGAGTTATTTCCCACTTGGACTAACTTCTTTGGTTGGAGGCTGTTCCTTTGCCAATGGTGAAGATTCCTTCCCTCCCTTAGAAAATAAAGGACACCACTGATTTTTGTACTAAAAACAGGTTAATGTGTGCATTCTCCTGCCCTCCCTGCCTTCTCTCCTTTCTGTGGGTGATGTGCTCTGTTTCTGCTTACCCTAGAGACTGCAAATCCACTAAAGACATGGAGAGTAGGGCCCAAAGCAAGGTGAGACATTTTATGTTTCCTCAAGCCATAAGTCCTACTCATATTTTACTGTTAAGGACAGCCTCACCACATTGTTGGCAGACTGCTTTTTCTCCCCTTTTCCGAATTCACCAAAGACTATTTGATGTTGACAGCACCCTGGCCACCATAAGGCAAGCCCGTAGACAGCTGGTGACCAGAAGCCTTCAGAATTCTCTCTGCTGTGGCCATTTTACCTGGGAGCACTTTCTTTCTTCTTCTTCTTTTTTTTAAAGATTGCATTTATTTATTTGTTAGAGCACAAACAGGGGGAGCAGGAGGGAGAGGGAGAAGCTGACTCCCCGCTGAGCAGAGAGCCTGATGATGTGGGACTCATTCCCAGGACCTTGGGATCATGACCTGAGCCAAGGGCAGACGCCCAACTGACTGAGCCACCCAGGCACCCCCTTAGAGCACTTTTCTCTTTTTGTTCTATTGCCCGTGAGCTGCAAATCCAACATGTGAGGACTACAGCAATTCATGGTTGGTACAGAGCCTTGAGGCCAAAAGGAACTCTGTGACTGTTACCTCTTAGAGCACATTAAACCTTACCCAGGGGACAAAGGGGAGGAAGAGCAGTTAGCTGAGTGGAAACAGCACTTATAAAGAAATGGAGTTCCACTGAGCACATTATCCAGATAGTATTCAGAAGTAAAGTGGAAAAAATTTAATAGCAATTTTTTCCAGAAGCTATTTTATAGTGTAATTTGAAATAAATTGATAAATTAGATTGCCAAGTTAGAAAAAAGCACAACAAAGGAAGTTTATTTTTTTTAAACCTTGATACAAAAACATTTTACATGGGATTTTCCTCATATCAAGACTGAAATTATTTCAAAGTTGGTAGGAATCACCTATAGCATACTTGAATTATATTACTAAAATGAGTAGAGTCATATTTTACAGAAATACCAAGTATGCTATCTGTAATACATACAAAATTTTGGTTAAAAAATTTTTTCCCAGGCTGGACTTGGGCCAAAACTAACAACTGAAATTAAGTAAAGATAAGTATGATATTTTGAACTTGGAATTAGAAGTAACAGCAGCACATATACAGGATTGGCTGTAAGATGGGATGTTTAATAGTGGCTAACAATTGGGGTGTCTGGGTGGCTCACTGGGTTAAAGCCTTTGCCTTGGGCTCAGGTCATGATCTCAGGGTCCTGGGATCGAGCCCCGCATCGGGCTCTCTGCTCAGCAGGGAACCTGCTTCGCCCTCTCTCTCTCTCTGCCTGCCTCTCTGCCTACTTGTGATCTCTCTCTTGTCAAATAAATAAAATCTTTAAAAAAAAATAGTGGCTAACAATTAAAAGAATGAGAGTCTTAGTTGGCTGCAAGTTCAATATAAATGTTGATCTGAGTGCCAGTGATGCCTTATAAAAGCTTCCATAAAAATACAGATTGGTGCTTGCATCAGAGGTGAGAGATGGCACTTGGGTAATATGACTCCTTTACTCTGCAGTAGACTGGACCACGTTTAAATAAGGCCAAGGGCAAAGTGTAGTGAGTCATGAGGAGAGACCAGCATGGTAAATGGTCACTACTTCTTGAAGAATGGTTGAAGGAACTAGGGAGTTTTAGTTTCCTGGGGGGAAAAAAGATGATCTAAGGGGATCTAGTAACTTTTTATGACTTTGATAATTACTACCTAGGCTGGGGTTTCAGAGGACGGAGCCAGAGCCAACAGTGGAAGGCACACAGATCTGAGCTAAAAGAAAAGAACAGTTCTTCATTCCCTGCCCAGGGAGTGCCCTGTCACTGGTGCTGTCCAAGCCCAGGGGTGTCACACAGGGAACTCTTTCACCGGGTAGGAGACCGGACTCAGTGTCCAAGGTTCCTTCCTAGTGGAAGGTTCTGTGATCTTACTATTAGTGATGCAGATAGGCGTGGCCCTCAACGAGTGGGCAAAGAGTGAGCCACATTAATGAACAGAGCGAAAGCTGAGGGAGAAACTGTGAACCTGATTGATTTGGAGGATCGTTTCCTATTTCAGGAAGGGCTAACACTTGAGGAAACCCAACTATTTCCCACCGGCCCCCTTTATAAGATCGCATCCCAGCCCCTCCCAATCAGGGAATCAAGGCACGTGCACAGCAGGTACATTAGCTTTAGCACATTCTCCAACGGGGCTGAACGTAAGCAGATGGACTGACTGAGGGCCAGTTTGCTGTGTGTCCATGTGGGGTGTCCTGGACCCTTAGAGACACATATCTTAACCACCACTGTCAAATGCCCAGGAGACGACTATACAAGCCGATAAATCTTTTGCCTGTGGCCCTGTGGGCCCGTGAGTGAGGTGGGAGGGACTCCCTAGCACAGCTGATCTGTACATCTGTTCTCAGCACGAGCTTAGAAGCTCAGGGCAGGACGGGGGATCCACATCTGGCTCTACTGTTCCCTGGGGTGAACCTTCACCTCTCCCTCAGAGCCTCTGAATCTTCCTCCTGGAATCAAAATGACTCATTAGGTAAAGCGGCTTAAAAAATCTTTGGTCCAAGAACAGAATTCAAGAGTTACCTTGCTGCCAGAAGCCAGAGCGTAGCCTCCTCCCACCAGAATGACGATCTCCCAGGGCATGGTCTTCTGGAAGTCCTTCCAGGTGATGATGGGCTCTGTCCCCAGTGAGGGCTCTTCGTTCTGTCCTGGACCACAGGTAGACAGGGGAAGAGCCCGATGAATCCTTGTGGGTGGGCTTTGTGGAGACAGAGCCTAACTGATGAACCAATGACTCGCGGGGGGACTCAGAATGGCCTTGGTAAGGCTCTTCTGAGAATTCAGACTTGGGTATGATTGACCAGAGCCAGCCCCGACCTCTTCCCTTGAACTTCTCTCACCGTCACTCTTCTTTCCAAAGCAGGGCTTCTTTGCTGGGATCAGGAAGAGCAGGAAGCCGAGGAAAACAGAGACGGTGGCGTCGGTGCGGTAGCCCTTCCTAGCAAAGAGACGAGCAGGGCTGGAGGCAGAGGGTCAGGAGGGGGAGGGGAGCACGGTGTCTCAGGACTGTCTGAACACAGTGCCTCTTTTTAGAACCCAGTCTAGGGGCTGGTCAGCCTGCCTTGCAGCAGCTGCTGCCCTGCGAGCCAGTGGTGGATTTAGGGGACAAGGCTTGGAGTCTGGAGGCTGGGCCTGGCTAGGGTAGACGTCTTGGTGTGGCTGTATGCGCCTGTTCGAAGGAGACAGCGGGAGTTATTTCGGTCAAGGAGACTCGAAAAGGATGAGTTCTCTTTCCTGCAAAGGTTGCATCTCCGTGTGTGTCTTTGCTTGATTGAGAAGCCGAGTGGAGAGAGCTGTGGGGCAGCCTTCTGGGGTCCTGCAGGGGTGGCCCGGGGGCCAAGGCCTTGGCCGCATCCTCCGTCTCTCCCAGGGGCATTTGGTCTTTAAGCCTCAGAGCCACCTGCGAGACGACTGAGGTTTCCAGAGCTTAAGTAACAAGACAAGGTCACATGGCTGGTCCCGGCAGCACCAGATGCCAACCCCGGACTCCCCCAGACGCTGCACACTGTGTTTTCTTCCTGACTCCACGCTGGCTTCCCTGAGAAGGGGGCGCTTTCAGGGGGACGGGGTGCTTCCTGGGCTCACTGCTGCCCCTGCGAGTGCAGGAGGGACGCTGGTGGGAGCTGCCTGAAGGGTCCAGTCATGGGGTGATTCTTAAGGAGGCGACAGTAGCACTTACTTTTCAAAGAAAGAATCCCAGCCAGGAACAAAGCCAGGCTCCCGGGTAAACCACAGCACCGTCATCAGGATGAAGAAAAATCCAGTTACCATTTCAGGGTAGCTGTAAGATACAACAGCGAAAGCCGCTCCAGGACCGGGGAGGTTTCTGTTCGCTCTTTCACTTTGCGTGGGAGCGCACCTGTGTTCAGAGCCCCCGTCCTGGAGACAGAACAGTGGCTGCCCCGCTGCTCCAAGTGACTGAAGCAGAAGAAGGCTGAGAAGATGCCAGAAAACGTGACGTCACCCATGTCACCCACGTCTCCTAGAGCAGCAGAGGCGGGAAGGGAGGAGGTGGCCTGGCAGCACACATTTCTACACACAGAGTGTGGCCTCCGGGAGAAAGCCCTGGAAAAGGCCCGCAGCGCTTGGCGGGTGGGACTGGAGCAGCTGCCACCTTTCAGAGGGAATTTGATGGTATATTATCTATTTAAAAATTAAACACTGAAAGTGGAAGCAATCTACGCATTCAGTGGTGTCCCGTGGCGTCAGATACTTTTTGGTCTAACTGTGGGTTCGGGTGAGATGCGCCCAGCAATCAGGCCCGCACTGCAGAGCTCACGGCCTGGGAATATAAGGACAGACTAATGCTAAGTGAAAAAAGACAAGCCATAAAACCGTGCTCAGTTTGGACTGCAGTTTAGCAAAAATACATATAATTTTGTGCAAAAAAAGCATGGAAGGAAGAGTACATTATGGTAACAGTTGTTAACAGTTAACACTGAATAAAGAGAAGTCATTTTTAGTTTTTTCTTTATATTTTCCTGTATTTTCTAAATGCTCTACAATGAATGGGTATTCCTTTTATAAATTAAAACATTTAAAAATACTGCTTATACCGGGATCCTTTTGCCCAAAGCTGTAGCTGCCTATTGCCCCAAAAGGAGAAATATGGCACCAAATAGGCTGTGGGGGTCACTGGGGGAAGCTGATAATGGCTGACGGGGTGGTGAATCCTCGGGCCCTCTGTCTTCAGGCCTGTATTTGATGGCGTCAAATGCAGGAGTATTTGGAGTGGCCACAGGCCTGGTCGTGGCCCATGCAGAGCAGTGTGGGGTGCTGGCTGTATGGGGAATCAGACCTGTCCCAAGAGGGTGGCTGTGCTGTCTCACACTTCTTTCCCTAGCTACCCTGTGTGCGCCATCCCACCCCCACGCTGCGGCTATACCTTGAACTTGGGAAATGGCAAAGGGGAAGGGCGGCCACCTGGAATCTGGCCCATTGGACTTGGGCGTTCAATAGCATCTCTAAATGCCTGGATTCATAGTTGTGGAAAATTCCCCAGCTCCTGGGACCGCGGAGGACAAGGCTGCTCGTGTGCTCACTATACCTGCTATGTTTTCTCTCCTGGAGAAGGAGAGAGGGTGAATGGCTGATTTTTACCTAATGGCTCCCAGCTTTTCATATTCCTCTTGGATTCTTTTCTCTGACACCTCTTCCCTTTTGGTCTTCTTCTTCTTGCTTAGAGAGCAGGTCTCTCTAAAACTGAGAAGGAAGAAAGAAAGAACAGAAGAATAAAGGAAACGTGTTTCTGAGGCTGGGAGAAATAAAGGATTAAGCAAATGCTAAACTCCTGGCTTGCTGTGGTCACTTGTCCCCTCTTCTCTCCACCCCCAGCTCTCCTGTGACTTTCGTCTGCCAGGTTACATGGCCTCCCACCAGCCCTTCCCTAGGCTTCCAGGTATATCCATTCGGGTACATCTCTGGTGTATTGACGTGAAGTATCATGTCACACAGACTTGGGTGAGTGTATTTATGCGCAGTAGTTTCTACATACCGGAGATACAGAATATACAGCTATCACTGGTTTGACAGTAGCCTTTGAGTTATTAAAAAAAAAAAAAAAAAAAAAAAAAAGGCAGCTCAGAGAACATTCCCTGAACAATGGGAGTCATATATATCTTCCCTTTATGTGTTTGAGGCTGATCGAAATACGGTTATGAAGAAAGCTTGCTAGGCAGATTAATATCAGAAGTAACATTGCAAGGGGAATATCTAACTTACGATTTTGAGAGGTATGTGAATATTTCATGCAACTACTATGTGTGAATCGCTCAGGTCTATAAAACTAAGCCTCAGGAAACTTCTACTTAGAGTCACGTTTCTTTTAAGTTAGTTCAAATTACTCTGTATGTTTTGAGGGAAAAGAAACTACATTAATCACCCTCCCATCCAGACTTTTTATAAGTCTGACGGTTCCTTTAACCAGTGAGTTGGAATTAAGAACATTCCATGGCAGAGCTCATAGTGAAGTGCCGAGGCCATGTATGTTTAGAGTGTCTAGAAGGGGGTGTCGCTGACCCCCCCCCCGTCTAGTCCAGCGTCTTCTCCTCACGCATCCTCTGTCGTCACTCGGCAGCTCCCCCTTGGGGGGTGCTCCCCAGGGCTCCTGCCATGACTGTGGACGGATAGCAGAGCCTCGGGGCCTCGCTGGCAGGGCCCTGGGACTCACTTGCAGCCGAGGAACAGCCAGTGCATCCAGAACCAGCTGACCACCAGCATGATGAGGGAGATGGGGAAGCTGAAGAGGAACCAGGTGCCGAAGTTGACCACCTCCGCAGCTGGGTACTGGCTGGAGGGAAAGAACCAGGTCAGTGATGAGAAAAGGCTGGATTCCCATGTGGTTTCTGGGGGCAATAAGCTAACGGCTCCCTAAGAAGACACACATCAGAGCTAATGGTAAGGACGTGGTGACACATTAGAACTCACGTATGTGACAGCTGGGAACTGTACAGGGCCCAGCCGAGCATCACGAAGTAAGCTAGAAACGGCACCTAAGCAACGAGACTTGACACCGCTGACATCCGCGTGCGTTGCGCTCAGGAGAACCATGCGGGAGCTGTTTTGCTCTTAATTTATGTAAAGATTCTTACAAGTTTACTCATCTGGTGTTCAGGACAACAGAGAATGCAAAGGGGCGTCTGGTATACTTGGTTTATAAAGTCCCTGAAGGAACGTGAGCTGCCGTGAGCTGCGGCTGGGGGGATGCATGGCGCTGACTCGGGACAAGTCTGGACTCTAGAGCATCATCAAAGTTCCAGGTATGAACAGCGCCCCTAGGAGAACCGTGACTTATAATCTCCAAATTGTTCATCAACGTCCACTGCTGTCCTAGGGTCTCAGGGAGGTGACCTGGACGACTCATCATTTATCAGGAAGAGCTGTGGCCCCCAGCCCAGGTGGTGTTTCCTGGGGAGCCTGGATGGGCTATACGTGAGCCATGACTTCAGCCTAGACAAGACCTGTGTCCTTTCCTCTTGGGCTCTTCTCCCACCTCTAAGGTGGAAGGAAACTGCTCCTCCTTTCACACTAGGCGCTGCGTGGAAAAAGAGAAAGACCAAAAGCAGAACCCCTCCCCACCCCAGGGAATGCACTGGAAGCACAGGAGGTAAAGAGGGTTTCATCGTCTGTCCTTGTAGGGACGTCTGCTTTTTTGCCCTGTGGCCTGATCAGGGACTTACCTTTACCATCCACACGCTTCTTGGGAAATTGTAACAGCTTGAGCCTACCCTAAGGGCCAGTGGGTCACTGGTTGGGGGGGTGGGGGTGGAAAGAAAGGCTTTTGGAGCTAGAAGGATACCAGAGGGTAGAAGTCATTGAGTGACTCACTCTGGCCTGTACTGGGCTAACAGGCATCAAGTCTGCTGCATCATCTCTTCTCCATACACAGAAATCTATGCCCTATTCCTGGACCCAGGAAATGGAATGAGTTTTAGAATAGATTAAGTAGACTTTTGTGGATACATGTGTGAGCCTATTCCCATTTATAGCACTTTAGAAAGAGTAATAACTAATTTCTAAATTTTTGAAACACAGCCAAAACGAACTGTGGGGGCGGTCTGTTCACCAATGCCAAGAAAACCAGTCTGGTGGCTGTTCAGACCAGTGGAGATCCAGGGAGCCCAGCATCCTTTCACAGGATCCCTGTTGTCCACATAAGCCACAGTTATGTACCACGACAAAACCCAGGAAGGAGACTAAGAGAATATGAATTTGCCCAACCACAGAGTGAATCAGAAACTAAAGAGCAGAAACTCAGAGTCTGGACAGAGTGATGAGGTGTGAGGAACTCTGAAGCTCAGATCTTGGAGATTTGGGTCTTAACCTTTCATTGGTCCTTCCTCCTCCCCTCTCCTCACCCCCCATCCTCCCTCCCTTCCTTCCTTCTTTCCTTCCTTCCTTTTCCTGCTAAAATGAAAGGTGTGTTTCTCCTCTTGTCTGTGATCCGTTTCCCTACTCTCTGCTCTAGAGGCCTTCCTGTGTTCTCAGTGACATCACTCTATCAATCATCCCCTCTCTCAATCTTTAATTTTCCTCTCACTTGGACACCCCTATCAACATTCCAATGTGTCCCATCTTAAAACCCTCCTTGGCCCCACTCGACTGTCCCTGTATCATCATCCCATACCTCTCCTTCTTGTCGCAGACCACTCTGTCTACCCACCTCCGGCTCACTCCTCAACTCCCTGAGGTCTGGCTTCACTTTCCAATCACTTGACCAATTGCTCTTGCCTAGGTCCCAGTAACCTCCACATCACCAACTCGAATCGACACATTTTGGTCTTTCTTTTGCTTAGTCATTCAGCCACTGTAAACACTGTGGTCCACTCCTTCCTCCTTGAACACTTTCTTCACTTGGACAGAATGACACCGGATTTTCCTCTTCCCCGTGTGATACCTACTGTTCTCTCATTTATAGTCTACTTTAAATATTTCAGCTTCATATTTTTGGCCTCTGCTCTTCTTACTTTATATAGTCTCCCTGAGTGATCGATCTCCTTCCCTCCCCGGATTCAGTTCCCATATGCATCCCTCCAGGACCCACTACCATCAACAAATGTTGGCCCCGGTGCAAAATGCAAATATGGGGCCGCTTGCTCAAAAATGATTAAGAATTTCCAGATGAGAGGAGCCTGGGTGGCTCAGTGGGTTAAAGCCTCTGCCTTCAGCTCAGGTCATGATCCCGGGGTCCTGGGATCAAGCCCTCCATTGGGCTCTCTGCTCAGCAGGGAGCCTGCTTCCTCTATCTCTGCCTGCCTCTCTGCCTACTTGTGATCTCGGTCTGTCAAATAAATAAATAAAATCTTTAAAAAAAAAAAAAAAGAATTTCCAGATGACGAAAGCAGGGCATGAAGTTAAGCGTGGGGCCCTTCCAAGCACGGTGGTCCGGTGTGACTATACAGATTGGGTGCTCATGAAGACAGCTCTGAAGACCACTGACTCCAAATCTATGACTTTAGCCTAGAAACCTCTCTTGAGATTCAGTGCTGTGTATCCATCTGGCCATCTCAACCTCTCTGTCAATGTTTCCTTACTTTTTTTGCTCATTTAGATCAAGGGCAACTCTGTTCCCCCAGCTGTGGAGGCCCTGAGTCTGACAATCAGACTTGGCCTCTCCCTCTCTCTGGTTCTTTCTGGTCAAGCCTATCTCTGCCTATCTCTCAAATCTGACCATCTCTCCTCATCACTGCTTCGGTCAGCAGGCCACCGCCGGCTCTCTCCGGGGTGTCTGCAGTGGTGTCCGAGTTGTCTTTCTGCTGAAAGGAGGCATGCTTTGTCTTCATTTTTTTAGTCCAGAGCCTGCTTTCAAAACTATAAATCTTATCACCTCACTCCCTGCCTAAAATTCTCCAAAGGCTTCCCACGGCCTTTCAGATAAAATCTAAGGTCCTTCGTGGGCCTCAAGAAGTCCTTTGTGATCTGCGTGTCCACCTCCCCGGCCTCCCTTTGCCCTCTCCCATTCTCTCGTACGTGTTCTGTTCTCTTGCCTCTGAGTCCTCCCACTCACTGCTGTCTTGTCTGGAACACCTCCCTTCACCCAGTGTGGCCCATGGTGCTTCCAGTCTTGCTTCCCTGGCTGCGTCCTTGGGGAGGCGTGTCCTCTCTGTGGACTGGGTGGCCCCCGTGGTCTCTCCCAGCAGAACCCCACTCGTCTCCAGTCACCCTGAACTGTCATGCTCCATCGTCTCTTTTCCCTCTTGGTATGGAAACGGCTCTAGTTCCCTTTCCTGCCCTATCCTCAGCCCCTGGTGCCACTCCTGACACATAGTGGGCGGTTAGTACATCTTTGGTCGGCCAGGCGAGCTACCTACTTGTTGAAGTGTTCCAAGAAAATCAGGCTGGTGGACGTGCCGATGATGGTGGTCAGGCCTCCAATGGTAGCAGCGTAAGATATGCTCAGTGAGAGGCACTTGCAGATCATCTGGTCATGCTGGGACTTGTACCTCCTGTTGAGCTCCTGGTTCCTGGGGCCGGGGAGCAGGACGAGTGGCTTTTCCTGTAAAAAAAAACAAAAAACAAAAAGCAGTGAATCTTTCTAACCCCACGTGGGCTGTCCAGCACATGAAGCATGAAGGCAGGGGCACCAGAGTGCTGTGGAAAGGTTTGATGTTTGGGTGTCGGAAAGACAAATCCCAATCCTAGTTCTACTGTGCACCAAATTGGGCGGCCCCTCGGAGCGGCAGACGCTTCTGCAAAAAGAAGAAAATTCTCTTTTCTCCACCAGATCATTGGGAAGAGTCACCGAAGTAATATATGTAAAGCGCTTGGAACACGTCCTGGCATTTAATGCATGGTAAGCTATTACTACTTTAGTTCTTAGTCTCAGCATGCTATTTTCCCTTGAACTCCAGGAAAAGTGGTTGCTGTCCGCTTTGGGTGTGAATGACTCAAGGAAGCTGGTGGTTCTTTCTGGAGCTGCGGGGAGGGTCCTGACTGGGAGGTGACTGAGAAAGAAGCCTTGGGTGGCAGAGGGAATCCAGTGTGTGATTCTCTCCTCACTCTTTTCTGCTTCTTGCCTCTTGGTTTTCCTCCCTACTTTCCCCGTCCTCTTGCATATAAGGCTAGCCTTCGGTGCTCCTCTCCAGCCCTGCTTGGCCCAGATGGTGGCCTTTCAGGGTGCAAGGTTGCTGACCTCTGGCCTCTAGTGTAGATAAAGGAGCAAGTGGGCACCTGGGTGGCTCAGTCAGTGAAGTGTCTGACTCTTGTCGCGGATCAAATCCCATGTCAGGCTCCCAGCTCAGCATGGAGCCTGCTTAAGACTCTCCTCCCTCTGCCCCTCCCCACTGCACAGCCCTCTCTCTCTCTCTCAAATAAATAAATAAATCTTTAAAGAAGAAAAGAGAAGAAGAGAAAAGAAAAGAAGAAGCAAGAACCCTCTGCCCCCCGCCCCAGGCCTGGGCTCCCCCCACTGAGTCTTTATGAGACCAGGAGCCGCCTGCGGCAAAGGTCAGCAGGAGAGATCCTGGGAAAACCTGGAAAAACCTCCCTTCTCAAAGCCCTTAACCAGTGCCCCACCTCATAGGAGGGCCCAAGTCAGTCTGGACCCTTGAAGCCTTCCTGAGACATTCATTATCAGCGCTGTTAAGAGACCTCATAGATTCTCTGGGCCAGTGGTTTTCTATGATCCTTTCTTCTAATGAAAATATTTATGGACCTCTGATATATAAAACATAATGTAGCATTTAATCAGCTTCCATCTGTTTTATAACTGAAAGCAGACACATGTGGTCAGGGAGACTTGGATTTGAATGGAGATGCTCCTCTCACTACTGGCTTGGAGGCCTTGGGCACGTGACATCATCTCTTTTCCTCATTTGCAGAAATGGAATTCAAGACTGCCACCTCCCTGAGCCAAGACAGGGACAAAATGTTCAGCACACTGTGCTTGGTACACAATCAGAGTTTCAGAAATGATGTCGGTTATTTATACTGAAGATGGATGTGAATGAAGTATTTGAGATTATTTGGATGGACACAAAAATGTGAAATCAAGGATTATAAGTGATAGCCACAATTTTAGGCCAGCTTCAAGATCTATTTTGTTTCCGTGGTAGAGCAAGTAGCAGGAAGATACTCATTCACACAAAAAAGCAGTTTCCTTACAATCTCAGGACACTCAAATATTTGAGTATTTGCATTGTCCCCGAAGCACCTTCGAGAAAATATCTGAACACCTCTGATCTAGTCCAACCCCCAGCTTTTAGAGTTGAAGAAACAAATGGGCTCAGATGGTGGCATGACTTGCTAAAATCCACAGTGAGTTAGACCTTTTAACTCCATGGAACCCGCAGGCCAGACTTTGTGGCTGGAGGGCCTGGTGATAGCACCAGACCGATGTCCTCATTACCTCAAGACCAGAGCCCCTTGGGAAGCTCCAAGTTCCATTACCTGGGGCTGAGTTCCATTACCTGGGACCGGTGCTGCTTCTTGCCCTGGGGATTTGCTGTTTTGCCCGGGCTGGTGATCGTGGGCATACCATTCACGTTCTGTGGGGACAAAGACCAACCCATCGTCAGGAAGAGGACATGGTGGGCATCAAGAGGGGCGCATCACCGCCCCACAGCATCCCACGCCTCAGCACTGTGGCCATCGGAGACCAGAAGCCAGGGAGAGTGTGCCATGGGGAGCCAGTCCACTATGCCTCTTAGACACAGCGGGTATGAAGCAGCCCATTTGCAGAGACTTTTGAAATCTGGCAGGGCAGAACTTTGTCCTTGTCAGACAGCTTCACTTTCTGGCACTTCATTAGCTAATGAAGAATCCTTCATTTTTCTTTAACACAAACAAAACAAAACAAAACAAAACAAAACAAAACAAAACAATCTCACCACAACAGAGTCTACAGTTGGGTGATCAAAATTTGGGCTGATGTAAGAAAATGTGAAACCAGTTCTGGGGGAAGAGGTGAGGCCATAAACTCTGCTTTCCTCTATAAATGTGGCCCTTTTGGGGCACCTGGATGGCACAATCGGTTAAGTGTCTGACTCTTGGTTTCAGCTCAGGTTATATCTCCTGGCTAGTGGGATAGATCCCTGTGGTGGGCTCTGCACTCAGCAGGGAGTCTGCCTGAAGATTCCCTCCCTCTGCTCCTCCCACCACTCACACACATGCATGCTCTCTTTCTCTAAAATAAATAAGTAAATCTTTAAATGTGACCCTTTTTATATGGAATCCCCACTGCGGGGAATCTTGAGGGTGAATCTGTGACTCTTGGAAATCTGGCTGGCTGAGTACTGGGTTTCCACGGGAAGGGCTAACCTGCCCTTTATGAGGCTAAGCCGTCTCAGGGCCAAGGTTCAGAGGTCCGCAAGCCCTCGTCCAGAGCCGGTCCAGCCCTTCTCATGTTTGGGCTCGTGTGAGCATCTCTGTGTCCTCGCATCAGTGGCTGCCGCTGGGCTCTAGGATAAGCTGCCTGGCATCTCTGTCCCTGAGGTATCTTGAGGGACTTCCGAGTGATCTTAAAGCACAGAAAAACCCCAAAGCCTTACCTTGCTATGCATCAGCGAGGTGAAGTCTACAGTCGATGTGCTGGAACAAAGCAAAGGAAATGGGAAAACACTAGTGGACCAGACTTCGTGAGATGGGAACGCCCCCGCTCCCACTGGTGTTTGGTGTAAGTGACCACTCTGGAGTTGGGTCAGATTAGAAGACTAATCTCACCCGAGTCTTCCTGGCCTTCCAGAGATGCTGTCAGGATTTGTGGAGACACAGCATTTCCTTAGAAGCAGTGCCGACCCTCCTAGCAAGTAACAGGGAGGGCTTTCTAGGAGCCAAGCACTTAAATATGGACCTTAGTCCTCATGACACCGTTATCATCATAACAGATGGATGGCACGTATTACTACCTGCACGTACACAGTAGGCCAGGAGCCCCTGGGCCTCTGACCACATTCTCACCAGCTGACTTGGTGAAGGTTACTGTCTAGAAGGAGAAACTTGTGAAATGCTCATCTGAGGTTGCAGGAGCAGGGGGGGCCTGGGCTGCACATGGAGAAAGGCAGATGAGAGCAAGAGGATGGGGGTGAGAGGAAGGTGGGAACTGGACCACAGCATTACTGGCTGTGCTCAGTGCTAAACATGTGCTTTGGTTTGTTGTAGTTCTGAGGACAGTGGGTGCCATGAGGTCAGTGTGAAGACAGCTGTTGGACACATGTGCAGGACTGGAGTCCCGTGGCAGACAACAGTGTCCAGGCTACCCAAGGGGAGGGTAAGGAGTTGATGGGGCTCAGACGGAAGCATTCTTTGGAGAGGGTTGCTAGCATGGAAGGAGTGGAACGGTATGATGTTTCCCCCATTCCTTCCCAGGTTGGGTGAGGAGGGCAGGCCCGGAGCCCCTCAGACAGCATGGGAGGTGCCGGCCACCCCAGAAGATGGCCATTCTCACCCGGCGAATGGCCCGGCTCTTGCCAGCACTCTGCTGAGGGAGTTCTAGGGCCAACTTGAGCTTTTGCTTCGGAGTTTGGGGACATAGATTTAGGTCTAGAGAAGAACAAAAGCAGGTCATGATTCTGAGTCTCATAGTGGGTGGTGCACACAGAAGGTGGCAGGGCCAGAGCTGTCTTGAAGAGGCCCTACCCAAGAGGCTGAGGCCACCCCAAAACAAAGAGGCTATGGGGGACTGAGGCAGCAGAGCACAGAACCGAGGGCTGGGGGTGCGTGGTCATCCAGGAGTGCCTCACCGCTGCCATCAGGCCTGGCGCTCTGCAGAGGGCGCCCTAAGGGGACGCTTCAGAGGTGCTGAATGTGGGCACTTGGCAAGGGAGAGAGCCAGGGAGTCTCAGAGAGGGGAGGGCACCGGGAGGGGTTGGAAGCAACAGAGGGAGCCGCAGGGGCCCAGAGGATGGGGGGAGGAAAGGTGAAAGTCTGTCCCCACGCACTCTGACCTCTGACCGCCTGGGTGACAGCCGGTAGGACGTGCTGTGGCTGAGAGACGGAAGTTTTGGGGAGTCTGGACCAGACTGCTGACTCTCTGCAAAGGAGGTCATTCTGCTCTAACACCTTAAAGAACCAGAGAGCAGTGAAGTTTGCCTGAGATTTCGTCCAGGGCCGTGGAGGGGAACTGGGCAGCTGTGACTGGAGGCCGCAGCGTCGGGGAGAGCAGAGCTGTCCCCCACCCTTCCGCGTTCTCCCCTCACACACGCTGGTTGCGCTCAAGGCAGCTCTCATTGCCCAAGAAGACACAGAACTGCAAAACTCAGCTCTGCTGCACACCCAGCCTTTAAAGGCAATATTCATCACAGTAACCCTTGAAGACCACATTTTGACATAGAATTTCTGGAAGAAATGAGCTATTAATGGATCTGTCTCACATGAATGTTTGGGGGGTGTATTTCTCCTTTTTTAGCTTCTCTCCACCCTCACACAGCTCTCTCATCAACTGTCCTCACATCCGCCACCTGTCACTTCACCCTTCTTTGTCATATCTGACAAGGCCAAATCTAGTGAGACCACATGTAGTATCTAGAAGATACTTCATGATTCTCTGAGAATCTCCCACGACATTTATTCTATGAATTTTTCTCTATTAATTAGTTAAATGTACTATTCTTCTACTTCAGTTCTACTTGGTAGGCGTGTGGGCAATCAGATTGTCTTCCTGTCTCTTCCCTCATGGCTGCAACGCCCTGTGGTCGAGGGAGTTGTCCTCAGGCTCTTGGCAGGTGGTGCCCAGGTACAGAGAGGAAATCAGGGCAGAAGGGAGGGTGGTGTGGCATGACACGAGGCTGGCCCATACTTCTAGAAGAGCTGTTTAGGAGCTCAAGTACTGGCTTTCCTGACCTCTGGAATAGACCTGGCCAGGCTCTGTGTGGGAGGAGGGCAGTCATACTCACTCTTCATTGACAAAGATGAGTTCCAGAGAGGGCTGGCTGTTGTTTGCTTCAAGACCTACAGGAGAAAAGGAAAGCAGACGTGAGATGTGGAGGCGGGAGCTGACCATACTGGGCAGGGGCTCAGGGCTGGGGCCGAACGGGGGAAACGAGGGCACATCCTGCTGGAGGCAGGCATGACCACCACCCTTCCCTCCGCTCTGAAAGCATGGCAGGGCTTGCGGACACAGACAGGCCTGGGGTGTTGTCAGAACCCTTGGGTGCTTCTTTCCCCCAAAGAAGCAGCGGTGGCTGCTGTCAGCAGGGGAAGAAGGAAGAGCCAGGAATGCAGGGTCACGAGGGAGCTTCAGGTTCCAAGGGCTGGCCTGGGATGGAGGGGAGGGGTGGGGCACGGGTGAGGGTCCTGGGGGCAGCACTGAGCTGGGCGGTGTCCCGGGTAGGGGGGCCCAGGGGCGAAGGGGAGGTGAACTCCAGCAAACTGTACTGATGGGCTCGGCCTCTTCGGTGCTGGAGCTGCCGGCCACGAGCTGCTCCTCCTCGGCACTGACCAGCTCCTGCAGCACGGCCTCCACGATGGGCATCACCATGGCGGTGGTGGACGTGTTGGAGAGCCACATGGACAGCAGCGTGGTGCAGCACATGAAGCAGAGCAGCAGCCTGCAAGGCGGGGCGGTCAGGGCACCGGGTCACAGCGGGGCTGCCGACCCAGTGTGGCCCCCCGCTCCTCTCACGGGGTTCCGCTGGGGCCTCCTACAAACCCGATGGAGCTGGCCTCGAGAAGGGGCGGCGGGGTCAGGAGGTGCTGGCGTGGATCCAGAAGGTCAGGGTTTTATGTCAAGATTTCAGCTTTGTACTCCCAGGGCTTGGCACGGAGTAAACATTACCTTCGTGTTTGTTGAATGAATAAATCACACCTCCTGGGCTAATGGCCTCACCCAGCAGGAAGCCCTTCCTTAAGCAAAGACTAGCTTTGGTTGTAGGGTCGCCCAAGCTGGGACTTACTGAAGGCTCGACTCTGCAGATGCTGGCTTGGTAATGAGGTGTGCTTTGGGTGCATAAAGGAATTCTTTTTTTTGCCCTGCAGCCAACAGTTCTTCAGGGCACATGACAGTCCCTTCTCTGCAGCCTCATCACTCTAGTTACTAGTGACCAAACAGAGACTAACATATGGAGGTCACAGTTCTGCCTGTCACTTGCCCGCTGCCCACTTGCTGAAAGGCTAGCGCCCCTCTCCGCCCCTGCCCCACCCCAAGCCACACAAGGGTCCCCTGTCACTGCGTGAACCTCTTCAGCCGGTATCTTGAAGAGTCAACCCTTGGAAAACACTAACAAAAAAGAACCGTCAAGTTATTTCACTTCGGCTTTGGAAACACACAGTGTGTGCCGGTACAGACGTGGTTCTGACTTCCATGAGACCAGCCCGCATAGAGACTCCCCATGTTTCTTACTCGAGGTGGGATCCCTGACGTGGTGCAATGTGGGAACACCTTTTCTGTGGATTACGTCAGGCAGGCCAAATGGTGCTGTTTCTGTTTAGGGTGACGGCAACAGGAGTTTGCTTGCCCTGGGGAACCCCACCAGCAGACAGAGAGCACCATGGGGGGGGACAGGGTGTGGAAACACGCATGGGGAGGAGTTTAGTGAAGAAGCATGGAAATCAGTGGGATCAGCTTTCTTGAGTTTGAGTGTGAGTACACAGTAGTTTCAAAGAGCTGCAGAGTCCCCAGCACAATTGCAGATGCCGTTGTGTGTCTGGGAGGTTGAGTGTGGGGTCCAAGGTGATTACTGAGTGACGGGGCAAATGACGCCAAATTAAGCTGTGGTTAAGTGGGAAACAGGAACCTCCTTTGAGGCTTAACCTGTATTCATCCAGAGGACTCATGTTGGAAACTGGTACCATGTTGTTCATTTATGCCCCATCGGACTCCCAAAGGAGTCAGGGCCGCTTACAGAAAATGTCCTAAGAAAGCTGTAAATAGAAGGAGGTGGGACCCATATGCCAAAGGAAAGAGAAGGGTAGGGTTGTTCCATGCAGCAGAGGTCAACATAGAACTGTCAATCCCGACTTTGCCGCACATTCCCCAAGGTTGGGAATGTTTCCCCTTGGCGTTGCCGACAGCAGGCAGAGAAGAGGACAGGGCTGGGGGCCTGGAGGGCATCTCAGATGCCTGGTCAGAGCCAACATGTCTGAGCTGTGGTCTGAACCAGTGACAACAAAAACTCAGGATGGGATGGGAGGAAACCTCCACCTCTCCTTAAATGACAGAGGAGAAGACACCCATTTTCCTGTCCAGCCCGTTCCCTGTTAACGCCGGAAAAAAAGTTGAGAAACAACTTACATTGGTCCATCTCCTTTTACCCAACGGGCCCCTTGGATTTGGTAACCTGCTGCCCGTGAAGTCTACGTGGCCCGGATAAATTACTGAGACTGTGGTAATAAATGACACCAACGTCACACGCACATCTCTCTTCCATGATCGACGGCCCAGCAGCCCTGACGTCATTCCATCCCCATTAGTAGTAAAACACCCGGACCCGGAGTCACCCGGGGGCCCAGGAGCCCTGTCCAGGTGGCCCCCTGAGAGCTGGGGGCCGCAGAGTGGCTGGGCACCCCAAGGGCTACTTACATGCCCGGCTTGGCTCCGGCCATCATGACCATGCGCAGAGCAATGCGCTTGTGCAGGTTCCACTTCTCCACGGCAGCCGCCACGCAGATGACGCCCACCAGCAGCAGCGTGGTGTTCTTAAAGTACTCCGCGGCCACCTGCGGGAAGGCAGCGCGTCAGCCCCTCCAGCCCGGCCCGGCGCATGCGCCCAGCCCAACTCAGGCTGCTCCCCTAGAGACCCGCAAGCAGGAGGCACGGAGGTGAGGGCTGTTGGCGCAGCCGACTGCTTGACATTTTGTCTGACTGTTTGACGTATATAATAAAAACCCTCTTTAAAGGGGGAAAACAAGGACATTTCTCATTGCAGGAGAAATGAAAAAGGCAGGAAATGTAAATATAGTAAAATATGTGGTGTTGGAAATAAACACAATCTATATAATCATACTGTTAAACTTTGATTACTGAATTAACCAGAACCGTGGGGTACCTATACTGGGAAGCGGGAGGCAGAAGGAGAGGGTGCTAAGAGGATAAAATCCTCATCTGCTGTCGTTGGAAATCAACTGATAATGTCTACAAGTGACAATTCGAGAATTAACATAAGAATATCAAATAAGAGGGGCTCCTGGGTGGCTCAGTTGGTTAAACCACTGCCTTCGGCTCAGGTCATGATTCTGGAGTCCTGGGATCGAGACCCTCATTAGGCTCCCAGCTCTGCAAGGAGTCTGCTTCTCCCCTTTCATGCTCTCTCTCATCTCTCTCAAATAAATAAAAAAAAGAAAAAAAAAAAAAAGAATATAAAATAAGAGGGGTGCCTGTCTGGCTCACTAGGGATAGCATGCGACTCTTGATCCTGGGGTTGTGAGTTCCTGCCCCACGTTGGGTATAAAGATTAAAAATAAACTCTTAAAAAATAGAATACCAAATAAGAATACTATATGGTGCTTAATTCCAGAAGAATCTGTTAACAAAGATAGAAGTTATTGACCCTGGATGGGGGTTGGGCAGAGGTGGGGGACTTGTTGGGGTCACAGAGGGGGAAGGCAGCCCCCTGCTTTTGCTTAATCTAGTTCTTGTCCCCAAACCCAGTCGTCAGTTGGCACTGTCGCTAATGTTTCCCGAGGGGAGAGATGTCCTGCTGGGCTGGTGTCTCTAGGGCAGAGTCCCCTCTGGGAGGGGCGGATAGGCCTTTGGGCTGCGTGGGCATGGGTGAAGATGCTGCCCCCTAGTGGGACGTGGAGGCACCGCGGGATGCCTGAGGCTTAGGCTGGGGCTGGGGAGGGGCGCAGGGGAGGGGGTGGGGAAGGGGTGGTATCTAGGGCCTTTCTCACTGCACCCTAACTTTCCTAGAGGTCTAGGAGGCAGCTCTGGGGGCGGAATTGGTGTTCGCTTTTCCTCTGTCTCCCGAGGAGGAAACCCACAGAAGACACAAGACTCAGTACTGGTTCCTCCCCTGGCCCTGAGACTTGAGGCCCCTGCAAGGCCTTCCAAAAGGTCAGTGCTATTGTTGTTACTTTCCCAGGGGACTGGCTGGCAACATTTTCCTTTTCTGCCTCTTTGGCACATATCATAGTAGAATACCAGTTTGTGATGGCCTTTTAGGAGCCCAGAGCCTACAGGACAGGCGAGGCCACTTTCTCAGGATTCCTTTCAAGGGGAAGGAGAAAGGAACCGCCCTGCTCAGAGGGCCCTCTCCTTGCCAGGACATTTCCATTTCACATTCACTTTCTCATCAACAGTCTAGGAGACAGGCGCTGTTAGCACCTCACTTGGCAGGTGACGAAGCGGGCTCAGAGGGGTTAAGGAAATCTTAAAGATCAGAGCGCAAGGGGCAGGGCAGGGGTGGGATATCAATCCAGGTGTGTCTGAATCCAAAGCTACTACACAACATGTCAGGGTGGGCCAACCGGAAGCCGTGCGTCTAATTCAACTCTAGGGGAGTCTTCTTGGTCTCCGTGAGAGCATGCGTAGGCACACATTCCTGTCTTCATTCATGATCACAGTCCTGACCCTGGCCCTAAATAGCTGGGAGACGGGCTCTGGGCTGTTTTCATACTTGGTGTTTGGTGGGCTTAGGTCTATTCGCGTGCCCTCCTGCCACCTTGCGATGGGTGTCATGTGCTTGGGACGTGCAGCTTGGCTATAGTTTGTGCTTAAGAAGCAGCACAGCCAAGTGGGCAAGAATGAGGGCTCTAGAGTCAGCAAGTTAGTCAACCTCTCTGGGCTTCATTCAGGCCTCTAAGATCATGTGCGTCTCTACCTTTTGTAAAGCTGTTGTCAAGAGTAAATGACAGATGCAAATCAGCTAGCCTGTGGGGCGGGCGACCAGGATTTTTGGCAGGTCTTTCTGTCCCTCGGTGTTCCACGCAAAGGCTGACCTGCTCTGTGGCCATCAGCACACAGAGTGGACCCAGCCACGAAGCTGCCTTTCCACTTTCATAAATCAAAATTCTATCTGATAGTGGTGTTTGTTAGTTGTCCAGCCCAGTGGGTTTTTTTGTTTGGTTGGTTTTACAATAAAACCTTGGTTATTCAGAACCCCTCAGGGAACACGTGGGTTCCAGGATTCTTGAGGGTTATTTTCATCGTTTTCCAACCTGCATTGCTTACTCCTGCTTGCTGTGGGCATTCCTTTCCCCACTACCTAATTTCTGAAACTGATATTCTCTGAGTTGGGAAACTAGATAACAAAGCTCGTTAGAATTATGTGCCAAGAGGAACAGGATCTCCAAACGCGCGCTCCTCTTGGAAGCAGAGTCCGCGGAGTCTGTGATGTTTGCAGTGGTGGTTTTATTCTTGCCTTTTCTGCTTTTCTGCTCTGCGGTTTTTCTCTGTTTGCCAGAGCCCTGAGCTTGGAGAGTAGAGGTGTTCCTGGACAGTGTTTTAGAAGAGATGTGTTCAGGGAGGCTGCCTGGAAGGGCGGTGCAGAGAGGAGCAACACCATGGGCTCTGGAGTTCCGATGAGCTGGGTTTGAAGGGTGGCTTCCCCGCAGATGAGCTGAAGGCTTTTGGGCAACCCATGGAACCCCATGGCCCCGTCATTCCAATGTCTTCAGTGGTGAGAGTCGCGATACACAGTTCGTTTAATCCGTCATGGCGTGGCCTCGAGTCAGATAACGCAGACAGGGTCTTAGAATGGTGCCTGGCATACAGGAAGTGCTCAATAAATGTCCATATTATTAAAGAAGTGGAAAAAGGATAAAAAGCTTCAAGATGAGACTGAGGGCAATGCCAGGGAGGTCAGCACAACCGAAGGAGGGAAGAAGAGAAAGAAATGAAATAAGAAGGAGCAAGGTGGGGCCTGAAAACCAAAGATTCCCCCAAGTTTTCTCAGTGAAGTGGGAGCCGGGCTGAAGGCAGAGGCCCAAGGACAGAAGGGCCGGCGCATGGGGTCCTTCACTAACTAGCTCAAAGTGAGTGAATCACAGGCGACATCCATTAGTGATGAGCTTTTAAAACATTATTTTCTTTGAAGGCGGAATTATTGATTGATCTCTAGATAGGTTAGGTTTTAAATGTTTAGAACAATTTTTGTAAAGGTTGTGGCTCTGTTCCTAGACTTTGGAGAAGGGCACTCCGGACAGCAGGCTCAGCTCAGGAGGAATGTGAGTTGGCCTCCCTGGGGCCACCCCGGTGGAGGAGGCCTGAGGGCCAGCCCATCCTCCCTGCTGGGGAAGGCGCTTGCGCACGGGGAGAACCCTTAGCTCCCTGAAAGGTCGCTGTTTTCTAGATCCTCCCTTTTCAGGGGAGTGAAGAGTAAAGGGCAGTTTGTACAGATTACAACTTGCTCAAGACTGGTTAGTGACAAAACTGAATTCAAACTCAGGTTTACCTTATTCCCAGCTTGGACCCCCAACCCTTTCCACATTGCCACTCTACTTGCTCCTGGTGGCAGCAGCCAGAGACCGCAGGAGGTGGGGTGGATCTCACCGTGCCCTGACGTGGCCATCTGGCAGCTCTTGGCGGGGTGGGGTACCCCAGAAATGCAGACGCTCTGCAGGTCAGCTGTGGGCGCCTCTAGGAATGGTGGGAATATGGCAAGCCCTTAGGAGACCAGGGGTGGCCTCTGGCAACGGACTTACTTTGAGGCTCTTCTGGACATCCGAACAATTTTACAGGAAAATCCTCTAGACCCCAGGAGTGGGTGATGGGGGTGGCTCCCCCTCAGCACGGAGCTAAGCCCCCAGCCCGAGCTGGAGCTCAGGGTATAGCATTCCAGCCAGTGCCGCGGCAAGGCGGCCAAATCCAGCGTACCTGACTCCGGGACTTTCCCTGGGGAAAGGAATGCTGTCCATGCTGGATAAGCCTCTGCGGGCTCCAACACGCTCCTGAGCACCTAATTACACTCCCCAAGGCCAGAGGTTTGCCATCCATGCTCACTGTGTCTGAAATGTCAGGAAGCCCGCGGGAAGGGCCTCCGCAGCCAGGGCTCTGGGCCTCCTTGCCCAGTTTGAGCAGGAGTTCCTCTTCCATCTGTTTTATGTATTGAGTCTCCCAAGATGTGGTATAAAGAGAAGGTTTTTTTGCTAAAAAAACATTCTTTGCAAACCCTGCCCTCGAGAAGCCTAAATCAGGGGGAGACTGATGAGCGCTGACCTGGCCCGGAAGTCTGCTTAGCTAACTCAGTTTCTAAAGCACCCCCAGTTTCTTCTCTGGGACCTCATGGACCGCCTCCACTGGAGGAAACTGAGGCAGGGGGTTGGGCTCTGAGTCCACTGGCAAAGGGGCTGGCTCCTGTGTAGGGAGTAGCTCTTCCCCCAGAAGCATTAAGTTGGCCTCAGGAGGCTGCAGTGTCTGGAGATTCCCGGTCCCAGGCCCCACACACGGACTGGGTGTGGAGCTCAGCTCTGGGCTGCATCTGGCGGGCTGTGGGTGAGGGATGGCTGGGGTTCAAGCAGGGGGCCAGGCCCGGAGGCTCAGCCTCCCTCCCCGTGGGCCTGTATGGAGGGGGTCAGCTCCTGTGGTGAGCAGAGGCCAGAAAGGCAGAGCAGAGAGTGGTATGTGGAATGTGCCCAGGTCTAAAAGGACAGAGAGGGGCGCCTGGGTGGCTCAGTGGGTTAAGCCGCTGCCTTCGGCTCAGGTCATGATCTCAGGGTCCTGGGATCGAGTCCCGCATCGGGCTCTCTGCTCAGCAGGGAGCCTGCTTCCCTCTCTCTCT